TACAATAAAAATGTTTCAAAAACCCAATAAGTAAATTATAAAATATTTCTTTTAAAATATAAAATAATTGGTATTCTTTTAAATACTTTCCATTCAACTAAGAGCCGAACAACGGCAATATATCTAAAAATGTCATGCTAGCTGATGAAGTTCCTATATATAAAGAAAAACTGCCCAGCTGGAAGATTAGCTTTGATATTCATAACCTCAAAATGCAAACATTTTTACCCAGCATAAAAGAATATTTGCAGCTGCTTCAGCTATGTAAAATGAGTTTGGTTACTGGTATTAATATATAAAAATTTAATAGACCACCTTGGGCTAGTTTGGCAGGCGAAGTGTGCCGACATTAAAATTAATATGCTACTCAGTGTTGAACAATGTGACAAAGGCAAAGATGTTTATTGAAAGTGGAAAGTCTGGTTAGAAGGCAGACGTTATTGAAAGTTGGTATATTTAAAATACAAGTCTTTTTTCCGATTGACAAAAATGTGGATGGAAATGTGGAGCATTTCGAAACACTGCTAATTGCTGCTAGCTTTTCTGACCTCATTTATCAACACTCTTTTCCAAGCGCCTTTGGCAAAGGTAATTAATACATCACTGTTCCAATTTGCTATATCTTCTTTCTTCCTCTTACTCATAACGTGTATAATTTGGTTCTTCTGCTTCTTTTTCTCTTGTTGGTATTATTTTGCCAGTGGCTATATATTCTACTCAACGTGAAATTAGCTGGCTCTTTGGCGGAATACAAATGCGGTTAATGCCGTGCGCTGAATTCCTCTAAATGTCTGCTCTGATAAAAGCACAAAAGATTATGCCAGCGGCTGTGTGTGCAAAAATTGTTCAAATTGAAGAGTGCCACTGACTGCATGTGAGATAGCATGCATACTTTGGACCTGATTTGAAGCAAAAAAAACGTAGCTACTTTTTATACTCTTAGAAAAAGGTTATAGAGAGGTAAATGTGGTCTAAAATTGGGTTGGCAATTTTTGATTTCTCTAGCATTCAATGAAAATTTCATGAATTTCTATTTATTATTATCATTCAATAGGCAGTTATACATAAGTTAAATATAGAAATCATGCACTGAATTCATTAAAAAAAATGAAAGTGGTAAATTAAATTAAGAGTATTTACAAGCTACATAATTATAGTGCATATACTTCACAATATAGAAAAACATTTGCTTAAATATAAATTCTTAATCACACACATACAGAGATTTGTACATCTCTATTCAACTGTCATTCATGTCAAATAAAAGTTCTGTGACAATTCGTGCATTGAAAATTGAATGTCATGAAAATCTGTCAAAAACAAGTTCTATGAAAAATAAATTCTTGGCCAAAATATATTAGATATATATCAGTTAGTGCATGAACTCTTCGGCTATTTAATAATTTCTATTTTGTTTATATTTTCCCCCCCATGTAGGTTTCTGTTTTTTTTAGTTATGTTCTACGTGAGGTTAATCGCAAATGAGCAACGCAATTCCTGTACACCTAATGAGGCCAATTAAGCCTGCGGCAAAAACTAAATGCCGTGTGCAGCTTGTTTAATGAGCCGTTTAACTATGACTGTGCTCCCTTTTTTTCCCTTTCTGTCTGCCTCTTTCACTTCAACCTGTTTATAGTTATTTTCTTTTGTACTGATTGTAAATCATGCAGACTTGCTGACGACTTTTTGTGAGAGTCATAACACCATTCGATTGCATCGAGAAAAGTTTTGGATTTTTATTTGCTGTCAGAGACAGGAAGCATCCTTAAAAAACTAAATGAAGCTGGTGCTCAGTGTTCAAATAGCTCTTGCATTAAGTTTGTTTCAAGAGGGCTAAAAGTTGCAGTTGATAAATTGAGTAAAATTAGAGGTTATAAAAAAATTCTAGAAAATTTCGTTTTGAATTTGTTGAATATGTTCTAAATATATCAATATATAAATAAATTTCACTTAGCTTTTGTTTGGAATCGTTTGATTTTCTTTCCTTCGTGCCACTTTACAATCCAAAAAGTAATAAAATTTTCATAAAAATGGTTTCACAATTTAATAGAATTTTTAATTTTTTTTAGGAACTTCTCACTGAGATGTCTATGACTTGGCTAGTCAGACGATAATAAAATTTCTTTTTCCATTTCGACATTACATTAACTTTGGCATAGCAATTTGAAGCACTAATTTGAAATCAAGTTGGCATTGCTTTTCCACAGTGTTAATGCGGGAACTATTGGAATAAATGTTCCCGACACAGTTGTAACTGCTTTAGATATTTGATCAAATACTCTAGGGTTACCAAGTGCACACACACACACACACAGACACATATAGACACACACTGCTTGAATATTTGCACAGAATGCATTAGAGCCTGTGCACGAGAGCATGTGAAATATTTATGTTGGGGCACTGTAGACATCAGATGATTAGTTGCATATTCCATGTGCTGGCAAAGCTCCCCGAGCTGTCGATGATTTTGACCGTGCAAATATTTAATCTTGGTACATTTGGCACCCCCTCGATCCGGACGTGCTGGACGTCTTGGAAATCTCAGTTGTATTCTTACAGAACAGCAGCTGAAGCAGTAGCAGCAGGCAGAGAGAGGCAAAAGCAAAGGCGAAGGCTAAGGCAGTTTCTGCTCTCAGCTCAGCTCGTATTAGCCCAACTCAAACAATGGCATTGGCAAGTCCAAGCCCCAGCCAAATTGCAATGTGCAGAGTCCGAAACGAAAAGAGAGAGCGAGAGAGAAAAAGAGTAGTACAACAAAAAAGAATTTATATATATATATAAAAAGGAAAAGTGTTGTTAAGAAAATGCACAAGACAGAAAATCGATCTGTGTGTTGTGTTTTTGTGGTCGACTGTGCAAAGTTTTTCCTTAAGTGCGCCCGGATTGGAGCCAGGGTGTAGCGGGTGCCACTAAATCCTTAGTGTGGCAGATTAACACGTCCTGGTCAAGCTATAAACGTACAGCTGCCAGCAGCAGAAGGTCAAATTCGAGTTGTAAATAAGTTAAATAGAGCAAATATATAAAAGAAAACGCTATAAATACTGAATAAATAAACTTTAAATAAGTTCAACAAATATTTCAATACAAATTTAAGAGTAGTCCAAAGGATTGTATTGCCTTGGGCAAAGTCCATCCGTCTGTCAGTGTTTCTATGACTTTCCAGCTAGACAGTTTGGAATTTAATTGAAATTGTCAAGTCAATGAGCCGTGGGAGGTGTGGCAGATGAGGAGATTTTCGGGAATTAGAGTTTTTCTGGTTGATTACTGATGACATCTTCTACAGTTTGATTAGAATATTTCAATATTGAAAAGAGAACGAGTATTATGCAGTCGATAGCTGCCGATTGCAACGTTCTGACTTGTTTTTAATTAAGTTTGTTTGGCTGCCTCTGTCATAGCAGCAGCAGCAGCAGCCGCAGCTTATTGCCAAATAATTTGCTTTTTATGGCTTCGTTTAAAGAGTTGATGCAACATTTGCACATGTTGTAAATGCAACGTAGTGTACAGCTTTTTGTTCTGTGTTTTCTTAAGAAGTAGCAAATCTAATTAAAATTGGTCTTTGTGGCTAAGCATTGATTGAATAAATATGATTTTAATTTCAATAATATAATCAACATTTAATATATGCTATAAGTATTATTATTATTTCTACACAACAATATCAAGTCATGAGTTGAGCATATTTACAGAACCTTTCAGTTCCTTTATCTGCAGACTTAGCTTTCGTTGATTGGCTCTTCATCGGGGAGCTCTTTCCCTGATATACTCTACTTTCTCTTCTAAGATGTAACCCGCCGCTAAGGGCAGTATTCACTTATTTTGCACGTATACACAGATATAAGTTTTTAAATAACCCATTTAATTTCTCTCAAAATCTAAGAGAAAACTCATTGTTAAAGATGAACAGTTTGTTGTGCTCTGAAACTGCAATTTTATACTTTGAAACAGTTTAGAATAGGAACTCAAAGTATAATTATTGTGTGAAAGTGCATGTAACAGGCAGAAAAACGTGTGGCAGATAGCAAAAAGTATATATATTCCTGATCCGGTTAAGAAGCAGAATCGATTTAGTCATATCCGTATGTCCGTCAAATGCTAGAGACTTTCTATACAGCATATAGCACGAGCTCATCATTTCTTTCGATAATACATCCTATCAATCTGTCATTCTGTAGCAGACTGCGTGTGTATGAGTGTGTGTGTATGTATAAAGAAAGCATAGATCGATTGGAATAGCAGATAAGGTATCTGCTAGTCTGGATCTGGCACATCCGATCAAAGCACTCATAAATGCAAAAGAAATGTTATAAATTTTTTTAATTTGCTCATTTATTTTTATAAAATCAATCGTAACAATTCATTAATCAGTTTGGGCGTTCATTCATTGAAAATTCGCTATTAAATTAATTATGATGATTTTTGTTTTTTGTTTTTTGTTTTTCATTTGGTTTACAATTTTTACATATTAAACAATTCCATATTTTTATCGCTTTATTTACGCAATTATTAAATACTTAGAAAATAAAATGCGTCTAAATTGAAATACGTACAGCAAATGTAAGTAGATGGCTTGCTGATGTACATATTGTGATGAATGATTATAATATTATTATTATTATTATTGATGATTAAATAACTAATCAATTGGGTTGGGTTTTGTGTTTATCAATTTTTAAAAAATATATATTTTTTTTCTTGTTCATGTACAATATTTTGTGTGTTTTAATTATTGTTATTTTGTTTTTTTTTTTTTTAGTTTTTTTTTCAGTTTTATTTTTTGCTGGTTGTTCATAAAGGACGATAAACCATCATAGACGTTATCAAAAAGGCAAACCATTAATTATATAAGTAAGTACATATACAATGCTTTTTACAAGTTTTACAAATGTTTTTTGTTTGTTTGCGTTTTTCCTAAGTTTTACATAATGTGGCTTAAGTATTTAATTTTTCGATTTGAATATTCTATGTCTAGTTTTGTGTGTTGTTTTTATTAAATATTTTTTTGTTCTTGCTAAAAATGATACAAAAAAAATGTTCATAAATGTTAATATTTAAAATTCCATCAAGAAGACATTTTGCATATATGGACTACAATTTGTATGCTATGAGAAGGAGGCAGGATTAGCCTGATCACTGCCCAAATTACGCTGAGGCGATAGTTGTTGTTGTTGTTGTTGTTGTTGCTGTTGTGTTGGTGACATTGTTCTACTATTTATATTATTCGTATTATTATTTTGGCTAAATTGAGACTTATTATTATTGTTAGTGGTCGTAATTGTGGCAACTCGTCTTAGACGATTATCTGGTATCGGTGGTGATTGTAAAGTGCCCGAACCCTCGTGTGGCGAGAGCGATGATGGTCCGCTAGCGCTGCCACCGAATGCACCAGCAATGCTGCTGCTGCCACCACCAGCACCACCACCAGCGCCACCAAAGATGCTGCCGTTGCTGCTGCCAATAAGACTCATTGAGTGCTCATTGGACAATATTTGATGGGCAGCCAAATTCATTTCCTCGGGCGTCATATCAAGCGCCTCACGCATCTCTCGTGCAGCTGTGCCCACAAACTCTGAATCACAATATTTACCCAGACCCTCAGCGGCGAGTACCTAAAATAAACATTAACAAAATGCAGATATATATATATATATATATATAGAAAGATATATATTTGAATTGCATGCCAATTGCACTTACCCCTCCAATCAATGATTCGGCTAGACCGTTCATATCAGATGAAGTTGGTAAACGACGCTGATCGTAGGGACTAGCTGGTGTCGATTGGATCATGCGTTCGTGGCCAGGAATAGCACCATTGGGCGCGTAGACTATATATATGAATTGCATAAAATATAAATATATAGAAACAAACATAGATTAGCTGCAATTGATGAAAAGCGTTTGCATTTTCAAAGGGATTATTAGTAGAGTTTTCTTTTTCTTTGTACAGCGCTTGATGATCATGTCAACTCTGCTTACAGATCTGTTGATAGTTAAACTGAAATTTGATAACTAAACTGATTTTTTGTATATAAGTTTTTGATTTCATATCTTTGCAGCTAAATGCTGAAGATAGTTAACTTCTTTCTCTATACGTTTTTAAGGATATATCTAATATTATTTTTAATTTATATACCGCGTTCGATTCAAGCAAAAACTAGACTGAATTCTGGTTAAAATTAATATAAGTCTCTAAGCTCTCTTATTAAATAATTGTATTTAAAGGTATCTATAGGCCTAGATTTTTTCATTTAATATTGGATATATCTGTGTCCAAATGATGAAAAAGTATAATAGGAACTCTTGCTGAAAAATTATTGTATCAAATTTCTTTAATATCAACTATGGATAAAAAACCTTTACGTTATATATATCCTGCAGGAAGTATCCCTTCAAAATAATTATATTAAATATTTGTTATATGAACTATTACTGTATCATATATATGCTATAGGAACTATTGTTAAAAATCACTATTTTATACATTAAATACTATATTACAATAAGGATATTCAAAATATTTTTGAAATATTATATATATAGAATATATAGAATATATATATATATATATATATATATATATATATATATATATATACATATAAATCTATTTAACTAACTATAACTAGCGCTAACTATATATTGCATCAGCTACAGAAATGAACACTCTAGAAACATTGTCTCGTATCGCTTATTGACTGCACAAAATGCATTTATTTCCTTAGCTATCTTTAAAAAAGTTTCAAAAATCCTACTCTATCTCCAGTCTAGTATGATCATCAAGCCTATTTACATACATAAGATGTCTTAAATTACATTTGACTGTTAGTTCAAGCATTCAATAATACAAGCTATTAATATGTTAGATGTTATTGTACAGCTTTATGTAAATGATATTTATATATATAAAAGCATGTTCTATAGAAAACAAAAGTTGATTAGATATATGTATATGTATATGGATACGATATAAAGCAAGCAACGATCTCTAGGCATATACAATATTTGACGCTTGTCTTCAAGTTTGGGCTCTACAAAGGCGGTACACTAAGGCATTATCTAAGGCATCGACATGGGCAGCATTTTGATTATATAAATCAAGCAGTTTCAGCTCAGCTCAAGCTAATCAAAAACCAAGCAGTGTCAGTGTGTGTGTGTGTGTGAGTGTGGGTATGCACAGAGTGTATAGATTTTGTAATTGGGTTCTCTGTGTGTTAACCTATTGGGATACCCCGACATACAAAAGATAAGAAGCGACGTTTAGACAACATTGAGACAACAGTTAATAAACAATTTGTTTGGTTTTTTGAAGATTTGGCATATCAAAAATGAATTAAGTATAAATGTATGTATATATATATATATCGTTGACATGGGTATTATAATTGTAAGATTATAAATATATTTGATGGACGCAAGGCACACATTTTGATAGGTACGCTCAATCGGCCAGGCCAGCTTATAAATGAGTACATATGGGCACAACAACACTGTTATATGGGTATATATATATAAATATATATATATTTGTTTATATGTATATATGTATATATATATGTTTATTTGATATATAGACACCAATATCATTTCGATTAAGATTTTGTGTGGATATACTTTGATTATGGTAACCTTTTATAGATTCATTTTCATTCATTCGATTCGTTCTTTGTTGCGTGTTTAAACGATTGTTGTTCAGTTGTTGTTGTTGTTGTTGTTGTTGTTGGTTGTTGTTGTTGTTGTTGGTTGTTGGTGTTATGTTTAGATTCCACGCAGGTCTAAGCACTTACGCAAAGCTCACATTGTTTTATATATATATATACACACTCAGGGAATGCTTTTTTCGTACAGAAATTAACTTCGCAGAAAATATTAAGGAAAAATATAAAAATAATATTTTCTGCCCATTTGGAATGAGAGCTACAATACGTGCTTCGAACTCTCTGAGACTCATCCAGTGTTCGACTCTCAGCACTCGGTTGTTTTTAAACTCGAATCACTTATGCTATAATAAAGATGGTTTATAAAAAGAGTTATACAAAAACAAATTACTATTACAACACAATTATTGGCATAGAATTTGGGTAGAATTAGGAAATGTTTCTCTTTTCTCGCAAATTAATCGTTTTAATGATAGTATTTCAATGATTGTCAATTTGTATGGCAATTAAACAATTATCAATTTAGATTCAATAAATTCTCGATTTGTTAGTTTGTAATCAACAAAAGGAGCCATGTGCATGTTGGTTAGAAAACAAACGCTTTGAAGCTGAAAGAGTTAGATTTTAGTTGGGTACAATAGCTAGTGGTTGGGTAGGCCTAGTTTAGCTGAAAGAGGGGCACCTCCTAACTGAGTGTCTGTATTCCTATTGAAGATTAGCTTAACAATTTGTATTAAGAGATCGGTTATATCTATTGCTTCTCGTTTCAATTTAAAAAATATTTTGCATTAATTATTATATATTATTATAAAGTAATTGCTCATGAAATATATAATTATTGCAAAAATTATACTTATATAAATAATACAGTCGTTGCAGCATTTCAAATTATTTTTTCAGTTAAATAATCAAATATAATTACTGAAGTAATTGTATCGGGAATTTATAATTACTTTGGTAATAATAATTACTTTGTGATAATGTCAGATAAATTAATTGATTTTATATTACTGAAGAAATTTTTTTTGCAATACATAATTACTTTGGAAATTAGGACTGGTAATTATAATTACTTAATTACATAATTACTATGGTTATTATAGTTGCAAAGTATGAATACTGCAGTAGTTGCGCTCGAATAGATAATAACCTTATTAATTATGGCTAGTAAATATAATTACTGAAATAATTAAATATATATATTTTAGTTATAGAAGTATATAAGCAAATATAATATAAATACTTAAGTAATTGTGTCAATAAAAAATAATTATTTTGGGAGGTACGCCTGACAAAAATAATTCCAAGTGTTGGTAAACATATGTAATAGAGTTACGGAAATAATTCAGCATATATAATATAATTACTAAAGTAATTGCGTCTAAAGTAATTACTTACTTCAGTAATTATTATATGTTTCATATTACTAAAGTCAGTGAATTCATAGATAAATGAATTACTAAAGTTTAATTAACTTTGGCTGTAAATAGCATTTCTGGTCTTAGCTTTCTCTCTCCTACTTAACTTTTAAAATTAAAATAAATGTACCTATATTAATCAAAATTTGTTGTATGTGAATGTGTTTCAATGATGTTCTCGTGTGACTGTAAACTATGGTAGAGTATACTATATATATATATATAGATATATATATATAATTGGCAGCAAAAGCGTTTCTAGATTAGCCCAAAACTAAACTACAAAAGTAACTACAATTACATTGTTAACTATGGCTATTAATGTGTACTACGAATCGATATGGATAACCATTCGGATGAGTGTTATATATATTATTTGTCATCGATTTTCGCCGCATTTAACAAACAGCCAAAAAATACATTGAAAACAAGTTTAATTTTGTTGCTTCATTACAATTGCGCGCATTAGTTAGATTTGTTTTTCTTTTTGGTTTATTTTTAATATAATTAATTTAATATTGTTTATTTTTGGCATGCCGCAGGCAAAATTCAGAACTCACAACTCAGAATTGTTTATTTTGGTTTTGGTTTTGTTTTTAGTGGCGAAATGTACAATTAAAATAATTCGAATGCTGCGCTACAGATGTTATATGTATGTATATATATATACCGAAAATGTTCATAAAGTAAATGAAATTAGTATGCGCAAATTAAACAAAAATTAGAGAAAACAATTAGAGATTATTGAGGAGAAGGAGAAACGGGTTTGGTATAATTTTTTCCCATTTTTTTGTGGAAAAATCTTTAAACAGAACCAAAAAAAATGCAACAACAAATAAATTTTTTGTTATTTAGGAAAGTTAAGAAAACTAAAAGAACGTTTAGGAAACTTGTTTTAATTGGGTTTTATGCTTTTTTTTTTAATATTTTGTATTTGTTTTATTTTGTGCAATTGCAATTGTTGCTGTTGTTGCATTAGTTGTTGTTGCAATTGCAGCATTTTTGCGCTTACCATTGTTATATGGATGCAATAAAATACCACGATTGCGGTTGCTGAAATTAATGTTCGGGGAATTGAGTAAATTTTTGTTGTTGTTGTTGTTTTACGGTACGTTTCGGTTCTCAGTGAATGTTGGTTGGTTTGGTTTGGTTTGGTTGTTCGTATTTTTTTAAGGAAACCTTGTTTTATGTTTGTTTAAACTATATCATTTTATATATATATATATATTATATATTATTTTGCTTAATTTAAATTGGGGTTTTGTTTGGTTTTTTGGTCGACTAATTCGCTAATTTGCAACAATGAAATGATTTGAGGAACCTGTTTTGGCCGGGCTCCTTTTGTTCATTACAAAAACGTTTAAGGCGCACTAAGTGTTTAACAAAATGCCATTTAAAATCGTGGCCAAATAATTATTATAAAATTATATTGTATGAACCAAAAAAAAAAAGGAAAATTCTCACTAAACAGCAAGCCATAGTAACAGGAAGTATATCGTATGGTATGGAACAACTCAAGAACTTGACAGCTTCAATGTGCGGCTATTTGAGATATTATTGAAAAAAAAGAAAGAAGATAAAGAAAACCAAATGACCCACTCACAGCAGCTAGCAGATAGCTGCCACCCTGCCATTCCCCGCTAACGCCCTCGTTTGTCGCGCTTGACCCCACCCACTGCCCCCTTAATACTCACTCATAAGATAATGCATTTGCCTCCGGCGGCAAAGTGCCAGTCACAGTAGCTGCTGCTGCGCCGCCATTCTTGGCCAACGGCCGCATCGAGATGCTTTCGCCAAAGGTGCGCAGCTCGCCGCCGCTGCTGGCATGCAGCTCGTCTTGTAGCTTACCGCTGGCCGCCAGGCGCGCTTGCATAATGTTGCGCGTGATGTGATTAACACCGTCGGCCACACTGCGATTGAGATTGTCGTAGAGATAATCTGTGCCGGCAGTGTCGGCGCTGCCCAGAACCATGGTGCTGCCCCCAACGCCAGCAGCTGCTAGGGAGGAGCCACCAATGGTTAGGGCGCCGTTGCTCTGAGAAGATTTGGCGCTGCGACGGAACGTGCCATTGCCATGGCGCCGTATCGAGCTCCATACGCTGCCAAACAACGTGTGATGGCGCTATTGGAGAGAGAAAGAGAGAGAGAGAGAGAGTGTGTAAGAGAGGGGACAGAGTAAGAGTACATTCAAGTTGGACTTACGCGATGCATGGGCTCCGGTTCCTCGGCCAGCTCATCCAGATTGCCAGAGATGGCACGCTTCAGTGCCGGCGACACTTCGTGCAGCGTGCGCAGACCCGCTTGCAGTGTGACCGTATTGCTATCAGGATGCCCCTCCTTGCCCTCCTGCTCCTTGCGCTTCTTGAAGCGTCGGAAATAGTCCTGTATCAAGTATGTGGCATAGAATTTGCCCACTGTCACCTCATCATCGTTGCCAGGCGGCGGAACGACCTGATCCAACAGCTTAGGATTTGTGCGCTTCCATATCTGCTTGATTGTGGCGCGAAGTTCGGCATTGGCATCGTCGATGTTGCCCTCCGTCTTGATGCTCAGCGAAGTGCGCACCACTGCAAAAAGGGTGGCATTAAAGAGCACCGTGCCGTCAGAGTTGAGAGGCATGTTCATGGAGACGAGACGCTTGCAGGCCATGCGATGCGGACAGAGCTTGCCGAAGCCAAGAGGCGGTGATATTTTACGCAGCAACGTGACCACATCCAAATGTTTGATGCGTCCCTTGGCATCCGGATCGTATTCGCTCCACAGGCGAATAAACTCATCCAAATGATGCGGCCCCAAAATGGACCAATCGCGCGTCAAGTAATCAAAATTATCCATAATGACGGCCACAAACAGATTGATGATCTGCCAGGAAACATACAACGTTAGCTAAACATGTCCATAGATAAGTTAAGTTAAGGTTACCAAAAAGGAGCAGAGCACATAGAAAGATATAAAGTAGGGATATGCAATGGATGAGCCGCATTGTGCATTTGGCGTATCCGACAGCTCGTCACATCTCACTTCCGGCTGAGCCGAGCAGGCCATCATAATATCCTGCCAGGCCTCGCCGGTGGCCGAGCGGAAGAGCACCAGGACAGCCTGTTGAAACGTTTGGAAATTGTTGTTGCGCGTTATGGCCGTGCCGCCATTTATAGCGATCTTGCCGAACATCTAAAATGGGAAAATGTTGAAAAATATTTTTCAAGTTTAAGTTACAGAACTGAAAGCCAGCGGAATCCCACCTGCATGCCCACCACAGCATAAATGAAGAAGAGTAGCACAATGAGCAGCGCAACGTAGGGCAGCGCCTGGAAGGACTTAATGAAGGTCCAGAGCAGTGTGCGTATACCCTCGCCCTTGCTCAACAGCTTGACGAGACGCATGACACGAAACAAGCGAAAGAAGTTTATGGAAATTAAATTTGAGCCAGCCTGCAAATGAAAAAGAAAATGTTGTAGAACCGATTCTGACAGAAGCTGGCAATAACAAACCTCCTTGACCTTGGCCTTGCAGCCCTCAACTATATCACAAGCGGCCTGCGAAGTGTTCTTGCTCTGCAAATACAGTAGGAAAGTGTAGATTATAAGATTTTAGCTAGAGTCTAACAGACAAACCTTAATTTCCGAATAGACAATGTCGATAAAGCTGCCCAGCACAATTATAAAATCAAAAACGTTCCACGCATCGCCAAAGTAGTTCTGTAAGGAAATATCAAATTATGTTATCTTAAAATATTCATTATAAACTATATTATTCGATAACTAATTATACATATTCGGCAACCCACCTTAAAGCGAAAAGCGGCCAATTTGAAGACGAATTCCAGCGCAAACACCGCAGTGAATATCATGTTGAGAGCATCCAGCAATTCGGTGTACCAGACTGGTTGCTGATAGAATTTCATGGCCAGTGTGACCGTGTTTATCATAATTAATATGAATATGGTATATTCGAAGGATGATGACGTCACGAACCACCAAACCTTATACTGTATACCATGTTTGGGTATATAGCGTCGCACCGGCTTCGCCTTCAATGCAAACTCTATGCAATTGCGCTGATTTTTATCCAAATCACAGTTCTTGTACTCCTGTTCGCCCTCATTTTGAAAGGTGACAATAACGAAACCGACGAAGATGTTCACCATGAAGAAGGCAATTATAATGATATAGATAATGTAGTAGGCAGCGACTATAGGACGGAAGTTATGTATTGGACCTCCATCTTCCTTGTTCGAATCAATAGAGACGTAGAGCAGACTGGATGGCAAATGGAGATAATTTAGTATAGTGAGAACGTGGTAAGTTGAGTATTAAGTACTTACGATGGCCAACCCTCGAAGGTGGAAACGGTGAATAGCGTTAACATGCCCTTGGCCACGTCATCGAAGTGGAAACCGTTATTTTTCCATTCACGCTCCTTGAGACGCGGCTTGTTCATGTCTCCGCCCTCGTAGACCAAATATGTTCCACTTTAATGTATAGTAAATATATATATTAATAAAATATATAATAGAAAATATATAAACTACTTACAAGCATTCCTCTCTCACCATTTTGGAGCCATCGGAGCAGGAGAAAAATTTACCCTATTATAAATTTTTCGATCGCCACAAAAGATTTTTACAAATATTATTGAAATGTTTGATGAAATTTGGGAATTATTAACTTAGTTGAAGTTAGCTAAACTTGTTTTTCTTTTAATCACAAGCTGAGCCAACTTAGCTAAAACAAGTTGATAGAAGTATAGACTAAAGCCTAATTATATCTTGTATGCAGCATTACAATAGACTAAGCTAGTCTATATACACGAACATGTACAGGGTGTCTCTCATGAACAAACTTTTTTACATACACAAAGGTTAATATGTTCATATATATGCATATGAGAATATATAGATATATAAAGAGGTTTTTTTTTGGTTTTAGTCGGCGCAGACAACACAATATTTACAGACAAGGGTTACAAGGATTATCGAGTTGTTAATTGGATACATACATATATATTTATATATGGTACAAATGTTTAGCGAGCAGCTTGACTAGCTTGAGTTGGGTTGGGTGGGGGAATTACTTAGCTAATTAGAGTAGGTAACTCATTGGTGGCGGCGGGGGTGGGTTACAAATTGTACACTAGGAATTGTTAGAGGTTAGAAAGCTAAGTAAAAGCTGGCAAGGCAATTGAAAGCTTTTTTATTTGCAACGAATTAATGAAGTTTTTTTTTTTGTTTTTGTTTTTGTTTAATTAATGAGCTTTGCGAATTTCTATTTTCATACAATTTACCAATGTTGTTGCTAAATCATAAGATCAGAAGAGAGAACTATTTAAAGCTTATACCTAACATACTTCAATATCCCAAATGTGAAAGAGAGAGATAGAGAGATAGAGACAGAGTTCCTTGTTTGATTTTGAGCTTATAGAAATTTAGCTGAAGATACATCAAGAGAGATCAAAGCACACACATATCAAGCAGCGAGAAAATTCTGTCAAAAAAAGCGCACACATAAAGCCGATTCTAGTTACCCTTTACCAAAAGTTTTGTTTTTAATTTATTTATTTGTTTGTTTTTTTTTTTTTTTTGTTATATAATTGTAAAGAAATTACCTTAAAGAGTTGCACTCCAATAACCGCGAACATGAATTGCAATAAATATGTAACCAACATGATATTACCAATTGTTTTAATTGCGACTACTACGCACTTGACCACGTACTGTAACAGGTTTTTTTTGCAGTGTATAAATATATATATATTTTTTTTTGTTTAGGAGCAATCGAATTGACAGGCGTGTATGATTTGTATTCGTGTGTGTGTTTTTTTATTATTATTGGATGTGTGTGTGTGTGAGTGTTTATGCAGCATCAATCAGTGGAATTTTTTTTATTATTGTGCCCACATTTTTGGAATAGTTTCATTGAAATCAAAAGTTGTTGATTTTATTATTTTTTGTTTTTGATTTTCAATTTTTTTTTTGTATATTTTTGCCAAAGCAAATGCAATTTGAGCAAAAATCGAAACGATAAAAGAGAGAAAAAAGAGGAAAATTCATTTGTAAGGGGTTTTTCAATTCGGAAAATCGTATTGTATTGTATATGCTATAAATAAATGAGGGTGTCTGTGTGTATGTGTGTGTGATATTGTGTTGCTTTATACAATTACTATGCGAGGTTAATGACATTTACGAACAGTGAGTGAAAAAATCATAAAAATTAAAATTATTAAAATAAATGAAAAAAAGAAAAAAATAAATGTTAGAGCATGAATAAGTGTGTGTCTTTTGTGAGCAGGTTTGTTACTACAACAGAGTTCATCTAGCTAGATCATTTAAATATACATTTTAAATATTTATACTTTTTTTTTGTAAAACTCTTTGGTTGATTGGGTTTTGCCTTGATGCTAGGGTGCAAGGTTGATCGCAGCTTGAGATATTTTAAAACTATTGGAATACTTCAATGTGCTTTGACATTATTTTGTATGCGTGTGTGTGTGTGTGTGTGTGTGTTGTTGTTGTGCTTATCATCTTACAATCACATTTATATATAGTTTCTTTCATGTTGACGCAGAAAATGGGTGTGGAATATAAGAGTTGACAAGTTTACACGATTTATGTTTTAATAGTGTGAGTTATGTTAGGTCTGCATTTCGAGAGGGGTATAGAGGTATACAGAAATTCCTGTGCACTGTAAAAAAAACATATGTGTGTTTAACCAGCCTAAGTTAACATTAGATTAAGCCCAACTAGAATGTCTGCTCTGTTTCCCAGCTTTTAAAGATAAGTCTATAAGGTCGTAGTTCTCATTGAATAAATTGTATTTATATATATATGTTTGATATATATATATATATATATAGTTATGCTGAGCATTAATAAGCAAATACTAGGCAGCATATAAATATATAGTATTATTTACAATAAATTTCTGAAAAAATCCTTTGTACATTTTAAATAACGATTTGGCTATTAGTATTAAAAATAGGTTAAAGAAATCAATTTTAGAAAACAACAAAAATAATTTTGAGGATTAAAGGAATAGGGTTATTTTTTATTTTAATTGTTAGGTATGACAATTTGAACATTTAACAAATTGAAAACAACAACAAAATGTTATTTATAATTTTTAGAGAAAAGAAAACATAAGTTGCATGTTTGTGCAATTATAGTACAAATAAAGCTCTTGGAACGAGCTTTATAATTACAATTGAGTTTCTATGGGAAAGTTCTTAAAAGTTCGCTTATTTTTCTTAAAAAAAATAGAAGTAAGCTAGGCAATAGTCTTTAAGTTAACTAGGAAATAAAATAGACTTCTTTTTATACAATTTTGTTTTGCTTTTTTATCTTAGTAGAGCAAGCACTTAAGAACGAAATCATACCTTAAACAATTGGACTCCTATCACGGCAAACATGAATTGCAGTAGGCATGTGACGAGCACAATATTTCCGATAGTCTTAACAGCGACTATGACACATTGAACAACATGCTGTATGTGATACGACGGTATATATTTGTATAGTTATAAGAGACGATAAATCATACGCTAGCTAAATATGTTCATATAATTGAGGGCGTAAATTGTATTTGTTTTTGTTTTTTTTTAATTGCATTTTGGTTTTAGTATCAACACGTATGGCACATAGTTTTAATTATGCCTAAGCGCCACGCCCATAGCATTTATTCCACGCCCATTTTCGTTAGGTGTTAAAAGAAAGGTCGAACTCAAAATGGAACAGTTGTTGAGCTTATTTATATATATGTATGTATATATATTCATATATTTTTTTTTTTAATTTTTTGCAGAGCTTTATTGTGGTGCACCCTACACCCAGCATTTCAAGGTTTTATTTTCAATTTGATTCTTTTTTTTTTGTAATATTAACTGCACTTTGTATGGGGTTATTGCAAAACGAAAAGTCAAGATTTATTAGCTCGCAATAAAAAAAAATTAATGGAAGCTAATATTATTAGTTGTATTTTATTTTGTAGCTTAACTCTTGTCGAAATCATAAGAACAAAAGTTAATAAAGTAAAATAAAAATAATTAAAGAAATATCATTGTTTAATAGAAGCAGGTGAATAAAAATTGATAAAACGAGATAACTGTGAAAGCAGAACAAACGATGTGTCTTACCTTTAGACCCTTGGCTCGATTAATGGCACGCAGGGGCCTCAAAACTCGAAGGACACGTAGAATTTTCACGACTGAAATCGCATTCGAACTGCAGTTGAAATCGATTATGATTATATATTCCATTAATAAATATATTATATTATTAGCCAACTACTGGGTTAGAGTAGCGCTTAGATATTTGTTACTTGTTGTTAGGGTTTTACCTGAATGCAACAGATATCAATGAGACGCAGACCACAACTAAATCTAATAGATTAAATGCGGATCTGCAAAAGGCTCCGTCGTGCAAAACGAAGCCATATGAAATCAATTTCAGAATCAGTTCTATTGTGAAAACTGCCGTGAAAAAATAATCAAATTTAAGCAGGACCTGCAAAATAGTTGGTTCAATGACAACATGAAAAGTGTTTAACATACACAGAATAGAAATTGTGATAAAACTCTCTACGAAATCGCTTCTGAAACAGACTTACGTTCGATTCAGATTCGGATCGGGAGCTACTTACTTTGTTCAATTCGTCGTTGGCCCTCAACGGATTCTCCGCGGCCAACATGGCGGATGAGAACATGATACAGCAGAGGATAATATTGCCGAAATTGCTGTGATTGCAGAGCCAATGGCAAAAGACGCGAAATCTGTGAATAAATTAAATATTATAATATACGAACTAACTGTTAACGATGATTTAAATTAACATAATAACAAACAGCAAACAAAACTCATGCGGTTAAAAATCAATATAAAACAAATATACAAAAAAGTTAAAGCATCGGCTAGAAGAGAGTTTGTCTTATACAGTTTCAAGATTTCTTAAAGAACTAAGGACAAAAAAAGTTTTTTTCAGGATATGCAATTACAAATCTAAGTTACTAGACACACACACACACGCATACATACACATGGAATAAGACTAGGTACTATACAAAAATTGTTAAACAAAAGACAAATACAATATTATAATATAATTTTATATAGAACATAAAGTTTTTAGCACACACACAGAGTAAAAAAAATTATTAAATTAAATTAAATTAAAAAAAATGCTGGTTCAACCAGATCGTTTAATCTTTAATGGGTTAACTAAAACATAAAAACCTGTTCGTTTGTGAGAAAAGAAAGAATGATGTGCCCGGCGGTATAGGTAGAATTTTCGTGGCCGTATTAACCTCAGACATACGGCGTGGGCGTGCCGTTATCATGCCCTCTTCATCCACTATATGTAATTAAATTTTGTTTGTTTTTTGTTTTTGTTTTTTTTTAGTTTTTTTTTTTTGGTTTATCATATGCCAATGTGGAAAAAATAATAAACACATATATATTCATGGTAGAAAAACAAAGTTGCTTAACTTAGAAAATATATATATATTATATGTACATATATTTAAAATATAAATAGCTTAAAATAAATAGAAACTAAGCTAAAAATACAATTGCTTAAGTGATAAATAAATTCTTTTCGCTAAAAAAAGTAATGAACTTTATAAGTTTTTTCTGTTAATTTTTAAATTGCAAATTAAAAATTGTGATTAAATTTAAAACAAAATATTTTCAGCTTAAGAAACAGTTTGAGTTTTGTTTTTTCTTTAACTGAATATAGAAAATTAATTTATTTACAATCGAATATGCAATCAATGCAGAGCTCGATAGAAAAGTTATCAAGTGAATTTTTGTATAAATTATATAAAAAACATATATATTTTTTATATAAATTTGAGTAAATATTTAAAAATGCAAGCATGCAAAAAAAGTAGAACCAGAGTGCATAAAAACGTTAAAAAATATATATATTTATTTATATATATATATATGCTAACACACATGAATCAGACAAATGTATATTGTGTGTGTATAGATTTTTTGTTGCTGTTGTTGTGCATGTTGTGTTGTTGTTGTTGATTTACCTGTTTGTATAACTGAAAATGAAAAATGCACTGTCGCGTGGCATGGGCTTTTTAGTCGTCTTCATGCTGACTTCAGATAAACGCCGGGGTCGTGCAGTAACACGTGCTGATACTTCAGAATGGGAGTCTTTCGATTAATATCAAATTGATTTGTTGATTTTGGTTTTTTTTTGTATTCCAAGGCAGCAAATGAAAGCGTAGCAGTAGCATGAATATCATAAATATATATATCTTTCGATCATGGTTGTTTAGTAAGTGTCTAAAGCGGCGTGTATAATATGTGTGCTTAACTTACTTATCCACTAAGTACTCAGAGACTTAAACTAGTTATTACTTATAGCCTAGTTAGTTAAGGCTTTGAATTTAATACAGATTAACATACCCTCTTCTTCATCCTCGCACATTTCACGCACCTCTTCATCTGAGAGCGTTTCGTGATCCCTAGAATATTGGACTATAAATAAAGCTCTTTAACTACAAGTAATTGCACCCAACTTATCATCATCCATATCGTGATTTTCCATATCCATATCCATGTCTATGCTCAGATGCTCATCATCCATGCCGTCTATGGTGGGCGTGGGGCTGTGCGACTTCTTCATGGCACCCTCATCATGCTGGGGAAGTACAAGAGACGTTATCTATGAGATTCTATATAGTTAGTCAACTACTTGCCGGCTCCTCGTCCTTTTCCACCTCCGACAGTGAGTCGGCATCGGCCAAATTGTCCACAGCAATGGCCAAGAACACGTTTAGCAATATATAGTTGCCGCAAATAAACAATATGATGAAGTATATGCATGCCAGAGCGCCATAAGAGGAAACTCCGCCATAGGCATTAATGCCCACATACATGACTGCATTCCAATCCTCGCCAGTCATGATCTATGTAATAACATATATGTGAATATTGAATAAAAAGTGCATTTTAGTATTGTATACCTGAAACACTGTGAGCAAACTCTGCCAGAAACAATCGAAGTTCGTGCGATATTTCTCATCTTCATTGTAATTAAATTTACCACCAAAAACCTGCATGCCGAGCAATGCAAATATCACAATAAACAGGAAGAGCAGTAACAATAGCGAAGCAATTGATTGTATTGAATTCAATAGGGAAGCAACTAGATTCGATAGCGAACGCCAGTATCTAAAAGACAAGGGAAAATCTTGTAAATTGCATTTCTTAATGTATGATTTGAACCACCCACTTGGTGACCTTGAAGACACGCAAGAGGCGCACACAACGCAGCACCGAAACGCCCAATGGAGGCATCATTCCAGTTTTGGTCAACAGCGTCTCAGAGATGCTGCCAATTACCACGAAGCAGTCGAAGCGATTGAACAGCGAGACGAAATAGCCCTGAAAGCCTAAACTGTACATTTTCAGCAACATTTCGCAGGTGAAGAGGCCAATGAACACTATATTTGTGTACTCTATAAAGAGGTTGGAAAACAGTAGATAAAAATTGCATGAAAATATTGAAGGAATAGGCTTGTAGTGGAAAGTCGATAAGAACGTTGATTTAAAGACTGCTGAAATAAACCTTTATAAATTAAAAATGTTAATAGTTCAACAAGTTTCAAGTCGAGAGGTGGCTTATGTTTGTAGTGTTGTCATAGAAATAAATACAAATAAATTGATGGTTTCTATTGTTTAAATAACATAGACCAACAGCAAAACTATACTTTCACAATTTGAAGCCCTGATTTTTACATTTTCGGATATCAATCAATTAGACAAATTTGTTTACAAAAATAAAGCTTTGATATTAAAAAACTTTATTTGATTGTCTCCAAAAGTTTATTTAAATTTTTCTAAAATTCTTTCTATATCATACAGATATAAATTGTACAATTTACTGATCAGACATGTATAATCCAGTAAGAGAGGTCAAAATTAAACCACTCTTTTTCGGCCTTTCTCATAGTTCTAATGCATTATGTATATAGAGGAGAAGCTAGAAAAGGGTTGAGGAGCTTACCATACGGGTAAGTCTTAACAAGAGATTACATCTTGATAAAAATTAAAGATTTAAAAAATTGTAAAACTTATTTTGATATAGAATTTAAGTACTTCTAACTACTTCTACTAAATTTCATTGAGTTTTATTCTTCCCAAAATCTGTTGAGTTCACAATCGCTTTTGAACTTACCCTGAAACTCATCCAGCCAATCAACTTGTCCGTAGTGCTCCGTTGCTAGCACACCAGTGTTGAGAAACACCAGGACAATGATGAGCCAGTAGAAGGCTTGTGATTTGACGGCTTTGCGACAGGCGCGACGCATGCGTCGATTGACCCGATCGAAGTCTTTTTTCATTTTGCGCCAACGTGATTCTGTGATCTGCATTTCGGGCATCTCCTCGCCCATATTTTCGGTGGAGTCCATGTCATTTGGCTGCTTGTTCTTGCCATCGGGCATCAGGCCGCCTGTGGCATCGGGCTCTATATCCTCGGCTTGGGTTATCCAGTCGAGATAGCCGCGCAGATCCTCCTCGATTTGTTGTTTCTCGCGTAGCTTCTGAAAGTCGCCACGATTTTTGGCCTTGTTACGCTCCTTAGAGAACTCGCCGGACAACACACCGAGAATTAAGTTCATCACGAAAAAGGCGCCCAATATGACCATGGAAATGAAGTACATCCACTGCCAGTCGCTGCCCATGGCATCTTGTATCTGAATAATTCATGAAAATTAGATATTTGAATTCATTTAATTTGAAATGCTTACATAATACAGGACATCCGTCCAGCCCTCGAGTGTGACGCACTGGAAGACAGTCAACATGGCCAATCCGAAATTGTCAAAGTTCGTAATGCCAGAGTTGGGTCCGGCCCAATTGCCATAGCATTTCATGCCCTCGGGACAATTGCGGCCTATGCCGCAGGGTCTCACTTCTTCCTCGTATTCACCTAGATTCCGATTTATTTGTTTTGGGATTGTTTTTTTTTCGTATTTTGTTTTTTTTTTCGTTAGGTTTCATGCATTAGTTGATGAGTTGTACTATGTGAGATGAGACATGATATATGCGGATGATAATGTCTATGATTCATTGTGTTGTTGTTCTGTGTGCTGGATTGGTTCTGATTCGGTTTTTGTTCTGCGGAATATGCCGCTCAGTAGTCCCATTTACTTAAAATTTCAACAGCTCTATTAACTAGCAGATTAGCTTATTAGCTCGGCGAAAATTGGACAATGTATATAAACTATATATATAAATGAATGTTCATATATATATATATTTCTGTTTATATAGTATATATTTGTGTTTTTCAATTTGTTTTGGCATATCTTTCTTTGTATGGATGTGTGGAAACTGTGTTCTGATTTGTTCTGATTGTTGTTGTTGTTGGATCTAATTGGGTTGTGTGCTTGTCCGCAAAACCGTGCACTAATCTACTAGTAATAGAGCTACAGGACGTTGAATTTTAATGCGACATATCTGGTAGCATTCAAGACATTGAATGATATTCGTACAACGTATAAATATTGTACTGATATTTGTTTTTTTTTTATTGTATTGTTGGTATTACGGCTTACCTGTTACCTCATCGCGACACGTCTTATGCAATTTACCAGAGAATAGCTCTAGACCAATTATGGCATAGATTATGATAACGAATATGACCAGAAGTGCAATGTGAAACAATGGCACCATGGCCTTTAAAATTGAATTAAGCACAACCTGTAGACCTGCGGAAAGCGTATGAATAGCCAATAGACAATTTTCATATGTTTATATAGGTGTAAAGAGAGTTCGTGGGGTTTACAATAACATCAAGTGCGGCTTACACTACAATACACAACAAGAAGCTTTGGATACTGCACAGGAATGAATAGCCAGATGCCGAGAGACTACGTCTTCTTAACTAAAATATGTCAATTATATTTCACTAAATTATTGTTTTTTAATCAAAATATTATTAAAGTGTTATTTATATTCGATTTTGTGAATTTATTATTTTTTTAATTTTTAAAATATTATAATTAAAATTATATATAAATTATATTTTATTAATATATATATATTTTTAATTAAAATAAATATAAAAAAATAATAAAAATTATAATTGAAATGTTATCTATATTTTTTTAACTATATTCCAATTAAAATTAAAATTTTAGTTTTGTTAAATATTGTTTTTTAATTTCTAAAATATTTATTTTGTTTTTAAATATCTAAATATTTTTTTCAGAGCAAATTAAAGTATTTGAATAAACGGACCACAGAAAAAATGATTAAATTGTAGTTTTATTTTTACTTTTAACTTTTTATTTTAGAAAATTAAATTTCAAAAAATTTAAAATAAAATTATCATTCCCAAATAATTGTATCGCTCTCTACTTTCACTCTGTGCTGCATCTGAACTACGTTTAGTGACCGTAGTTTCTTTTGCTCTACAAGGACAAAAGTGTATTTTTTTTAAATTTAGATTGTGTGTTGTTCTTTTAATTTTTGTGCAGAAAGCTCTTACTTGGTACACCCGAGACAAGTCGCAGTGGACGCAGAACACGAAAGGCTCGTAGCGCTTTCACATCGAAGGCATCCTTCATCAAATGGGACAGTGCTGTACTTATCGCTCTGTAAAAATGTGATTTGGCACAGACAATTTCATACGTGTCTCAGTTTCGATTGAATTGGATATAAGGTAACATAGAAAATGGTTAAAACTAGGCCGATTATATAGTGGCCTGGGCGCTCAACGCTTTTAACTGGCATATTTTATATGCTTACCCTATAACTACAATTGTAAAATCTAATAAATTCCATCCATTTCTTAGATATGCACCATTATGTAACACAAAACCATATGCTAAAATCTTCATAACACATTCCGCTGTGAATATAACTAGGAATATATATTCAACTTTTTCCTAATGTTTTGTTTTGTAATTTTGTTTTTTGGTTTGAGTGTGTGTGTGTGTGGAGGTGATTGTGATTGAATGAAAGTTGATTTGATGATTTGAGGTGAGATGATGCATAGAAGACAGACGAAAGAAATATATATATAGATTAATAAACCACAATATCAGCTGTATTCAAACAAAGAGTTGAGGCCTGCTTCAGCTGGCCACTTCGAACTTACCAAGGTTTGATTCGTTACATTCGAATCGCTGCCCGGATAAGGCGTGTAAACGGCCAAGGCAATACAATTGGCAAATATGGTTAACAAAATAAGGAACTCAAATGGTCTAGTGATTGATTTCAATTAAGGAAAATCCGTGTGGCTTACACTTAATTTTTACGTATTAGGAAACGAGCAAACAAGCAGCAGTTTAGGTTTAAGTATAAACTGGGGGACCTGAGCTTTAATGCCGTAGAATAATCAAAGGGTCTTCAACAGACTCTATAGATTTTTAAGTGCTTTGACTATTCAAATTAATTCATTGTTAAGCTAAAGCGTATTTAATATTGATTGGTATCCTGAAAGCAAAGGTTTGACTACATGAATTATCGCACTCGGAGCTGAATGCCCGTTAGTTCATATAATAAACAGGGAAAAGGTTTCGCTTCATCAAATTTACAACTTTGATTCGTATATGAGGTTATAGAGATTATTCTAAAATCAGCAAATAAAAACATTGAACTGGCTTAAACATTGCGTATTCAGCAATTGTAACTAGACAATGGTAAATAACTGGTTCAGTATAACAACAAACAAACTGGAACTGGTTCATGTGAATAAAGATCTTTGTACAGTTCAATTGAAGACGAGTAATATTGATAGTAGAACTAGTGCATCATATTCAGAGCTCTTTTGAATGCTTGCATTGAGTTTAGAAAGATCTTTTGTTGATAACTAGATAACTAGATAAATGTCTAACTACAGTTTAATGGTAGTTTGATTGAAGGAACTCGTTCTTCCAGAGGGTTGCACATAAAACCACTTGGCAATCGAGTAATACGCTCTCAGTTCTCTGCTCTTTTATCCCTTTATGTCATCTCTGGCTTGAGTTTACGCAAAAAGGATACTTCCATTCCACGATGCGTATGCAAAGCGCTCGTATAGGATTTTTGACGCCCAGGCAGAAGAGCGCCCTTTGTGGTCGATCCGGCTGCGGCTTGCCGCGTCGCTGTGGACGCTTTTGGCCGGCGGCGCCAGCTTTTTGTCCACCGCCGCCGCTGGGTCCGATTGTGGTGCCGTTCATAGTTTCCGGAATGTTAGCAATGCCCATGGCATCGATGCCTGTACAGGTGGGGGCATCAGGTGTTGGCAAGTGCCATTAGTGGCTCAAAGAGTCCATTGGTGAGTAGTTAACTTACCCATTATGTTGTTGCCGCCGCCCAGATCCGTTTGCGGATTGTGGACGTTGGACATGTCACCGCCACCGGCAGCGCCTCCGTTGCCATTGGGCGTGAAGGTGCCGCCGCCAGCGGCGCCTCGCTCAAAGTCCATGATGTTGAAATATTTACCGGCTCCGCCGCCGAAATTGTCAATCAGCTCCGCGGAGCTGGAGTAGAAGGGTGAGAATGCTTGAGTATCGTCCTCCTCCTCTTCGTAATACTCGTCAGCCTCCTCGTCGTCGTCGTCGACCTCCTCGTCTTCCTCCTCCTCGTCGTCTTCGTCGTCGTCGTCGTCGTCCTGATTCTGATAGTCGTGTTGCTGCTGTGCCAGTTGCTCTTGATCATCAATATCAATTGTTGTGCCCTCGGGCTCGTCTTCCTCGTCGTAGTCGTCGTCGTCGGTTATTTCAACGCCGTCGTCGTCCTCCTCGGTTATTCTACATGTCCTCTGTATGGAGGGCCGTTTATTGCGTGTATTCCTTCTTACAATGACATCGGCATTGTCATCAACATCGCCAACATCCTCGAGCGAATCGTTTCCACAGAGCGCTGCACCTGCAATAATTCGAATCTCATCGTCCGCATCATCATCCGCATCCTGTCGCCTCTCACTGATGCTCTCACAGTCGGTATTACCGCCGCCAGCAGAAGATGCTGCTGTCGCTGTTGCTGCCTGTTCCTTAGCTGCTGCTGCTACGGCGGCAACAATTGCCGCTGTGCGCAAAGTTTGTGAACTAACGTCAGCTGCGTCCGGATTATCCGGATCGTCGTCGTCCTCTTCGCAGTCGTCGTCGCCTATAAAGCTGCTGATGTCGCCAACACCAAAGCCATGCAAGGTACTGTTGTCGCCGGTGATGTCGCAATTGCAACTGTTGCTGCTGCTGCTGTCGCCGCCAACTGCACTGTAGCTGCTCTCCTCGTCCCGAGCGCCGCTGCTATAGCTGCTGTTGGTGCTGCCAGCGCTGGTTACGCTGTTCTGCGGCTGTTGCTGCCAGCCAGCTGTCGCTGCTGCTGCTGCTGCCGACTGCGCTGCTGCTGTTGCTGCTGACTGCGCAGCTGCTGCTGCTGCTGCTGATAACTGCGCTGTTGCCGCTGCTGCTGATGTTAGCGCCTCCTCTGGCGTGAGGCGTTGACTGGCGGTGCCGCCACACGAATTGCAGCTGGATTTGCGTCGTTGTCGCTTGCTGCTGTTCGCCGAGTTCGCTTCGCTGCCGTTGTTGTTGTTGTTTTTGTGCCTGCGCTGCTTGAAGTCGAGCTTGTAGGTCGTATTGTTAACAATTTGGCTAGTGACCGTGCTCAGAGCAAGTTCTGTATTGTTGGCAGCCGCACGTATGCGACTAGAACTAGCCGCTGGCGTCTCCTCGCTGAATGCAATTACCTCAAGCGGACTGCAGCTGTGATGTGGTTTAGGATAAGATAGAAAATGAAATACTTTAGTATATTTGCTTAATGATTACTTACATATATATATTCATACTCAAACTAAATACTCATTGGATGCAGTTGCTAAATAATACATTTTACTGGAAATTTTACAACGATTCTGCGAAGTGGATATATAAATATAACACTTGTAGAGGCGAGCTAACGATTTTGTTTTGCAATACACATTTTCCCTACCTGAAATACACTCACTAGTCTAAACTTTTAGCCACTAAACTCTTAAATGCTTTTTTATCTAAACTCGCTTTATAAGATTATAGTTAACTAGATAAATTTGCATATAGATATATCTGCAATTGCAGCATTATTCCTTATTAATCTTGAAATAATTTGATAAAATATTTCGAACCGGTTATAAAGTCACACATACCCTAGAAAACAAAGACTAAGACTAAATACCTTGAATCGTCCTGGCATAAAAAAGGAAACTTCAACCATAATAAAACAAATATATATAAGAAATACCTATTTATAATTATTATAAAAGTATTAAATAAAATATATATTGTTCCTGTTATAATATTAGCATATAAATATTTTTTATATAATACACCAAGATAATAAGTCCAATAATAAAAATATTTCAATAACAAATTTAAGCATTCAAATAATAACAATGATATAATAATAAAATAATTATAATAATATAAGAAACATAAGAAATAATTTTTAAAAACTAAGCTTATATGAAACTAGAAGAAAGTAAAAAATATTTTGTTAGTTAATTTAGAAATAGAAATTCTAATGAAGTTAATTTTCTTTTTAAAAAAATTGTATTAAAACTATAAAAATAGTTAAAATTACATCACAAACTATTTAAAAATTAAATATAATATTTAAATATCTTATACTGAATATTAACAGCAGAAAAAAAACAAAATATGAAAAAAATGTTGAACAATTTAATAAAATATATAGCATTAAACAAAACTAAAAAATAAATAGGTTAGAAATTAATTCTATAACATTATTAATTTTCTAATTTCTTTTAGAAATTTAAACTGAATATTATTTGTAAAAGAATAGGCTTTATTTGTTGTGTCATTATAAAATGAATTTTTAATAAATAACTTTCAAGGAGTGGCAACTTCACTCTTACCACAACTCTGTTTACCCACACTCAAGCTTTACATATAAATTTCAATATATCCTAGATCGTATGCTAATGCATGCTTACAACATGCCGAACTTATACACAAAGACAGTCACAGGCACACACATATAAACTTGCACAGTGGGACAAAAAACAGCGATATACAACATATAGTTTACGATAGTTAGTATACGATAGTTATTGAGGTTAGTTTTAGGGGTGGTTTTTGGTTTTTGTTATCGTTGGCTAACTTACTATGCCCTAGAATTCCTAGAATTTGTATGTTCCAAATAATCAAAGTCTTGGATTGCATTGTAAATGAATTTCTTATCGTGCTCCAGCTGGAGCTGCATATACCTTTGTTGTAGCACAGTGGGACCTGACGACGTTGCTGCCGCTGCCGATGTTGCTGGAGTTGTTGCTGTTGCTGTTGCTGGCACTGGCAATGTTATCGTTGGGGAACGATGCTGATGACGATGCTCGGGCTTAACAATTATTACCTCCAACTCGCTTTTCGCTGTGGTCGATTTGCGATTGTATTTGCGACTGCCGCGGGTTGGTGTCTCCGCTTTCATATAACGTCTGGCAGAGGCTGGAGATGTGGGCGATGGCTTGCGCTCGATTATGAGTGTATTATCATCGTAGGCTATGCAGTTGACCAGCTCCCCTCCGCCCATCACACTGGTGGTTGTGGCAGTTGTTGCTGCTGTTGTCGCTGCGGCTGTTGTTGCTGTGGCTGCTGTTGCTGTTGTTGTTGCTTTTGCTGTCGGCTCATCGCTGTGGTCATAAAGTTTCGCCTCCTTCTGCCGTTGAAATTGTAGCTGACGTCGACGCTGGGATGATGAAGTTGTTGCTCCATTGCGCGAGCTGCTGCTGCTGCTGCTGTTGGCTGGCTGGTGTTGTTGTTGCTGTTTGGTCAAGCATGATTCATCCGTGGAGCCTGGTGACAAATCCTTGCACGCGTCCCTAGCTCTATCCTTATCTTTAGCCTTATTGTTATTGTTTTTATGATTTAATTTATTACTAGAACTATCCAAGGCATCGTATTTGTTAATTTGTTGTTGCTGTTGTTGGTGTTGCTGTTGTTGTTGTTGGTGTTGTTGTTGCTGTTGTTGTTGCTGTAGGAGTTGTTGTTGGTGCTGGTATTGCTGTTGTTCCTGGGCTGTTGGCGATTGCTGCTTTTGCTGCGTTGACGTTGCATGCTCCTTATGTTCTCCTAATTTTAATGTGTTCATGATTTATGTTAGTGGACAATTTAATTAGTTAAGTTATTTTGTGATTTTTATGACAAATGCTAGCAGTTTGAGCATGAAATATGTTTATGAATATAGATTTCTCATTTGATTGTTGTATAAACAAAATCTCGTGAGGTCATAAATTCCAGAAAAATCTATCGAAGTCATTGTTAGCTGAGATAGTTGAGTAGAGACTTACAGGGTGAACGATAACTGAATTTCAGCAACTGCTTTAATTACCGATAACATTTAGCTATTTAATAATGAATAATATTTAATAAGATTTGCCATTTGATTTATCCTCGGACTAGCAGCGCATAGAAATATTTAAAATAAATCTAGTAATTATTAAGTCATATTTGAGTTCAATAATTATATTCCACATGTTTTTAAATAGTTTTTGATATAAGACTGAAATATTTATTTCATTTTGGTTTTTTTTTCTTAACGTTTTGCTGATCAAAAATCAAATAGTTTTTATAGTTGAACTAGTAAGATAAGTCTAAGTAAGATTTTCGTTTAGTGCAATGAAAGCATCATTGAGCTTTACACCAAGTCGTATACTTTATATTATTAAGTATATGAAAGAGGATACTAAATGCTAAATAACATAAAAATGTTATACAATCTTTTTTAAAATAGCTCAAGTAGCCAAACAAATTCCGATGAGCCAGAGGAAATGCGTATATTATTTTATGTTCTTACAAAATCAATAAAAATCATATAAAAATGAAATTTATAGAACAGAAAGTTTTTTATTCAATACTGAAGGTTTTATTTGGTGAACAAAAGTTGTATTGTATTTAAATTGAAGCTTTCATTAAAAAGATATAACGTGAAAGTCATACCTATTTGAGCTCAACAGTATATAAATTACTTTTATAGAATTTTAAAAACCATAAATGATATCCATAAATAATTCTTGCATCAATTTATGACTACGACTTGTAGCAATTTTTACTATTCAAATTTTAAATATGAAATTCAAACTTATTTTTTAAAATTTAATTAAATTTAATTTAAAATAAGCAAATAATTTCATAGTTCGACAAGTTTCTTCTCGAATATTAACTATAATACCCTAGAGTTCCTCATTTTTAGTTCAAATTTCTGCAACTACTCAAACTGGCAAAACTCAATTTGAGTATTGTTATTCATATATTCAATAAAATATATATTTATATACATTAAGTGTCAGCTTCATTCAGTATATTCAATCATCAATCTTCTACTTTAATTTAAAATATAAATTCCAACTAAATGAAATTTTTCAATAGCTATACATGAACTTGTTATCAGCTCTATTCAAGGTCTTCAACTATCAATCTTCAGTTGTGTTTAATGAACGTTTGTCAATTGACCAAGTTTGATGAATGTGTTATTCGATTCGATAGTCAAGTGGAAATGTGAAATGTGAATATTACGCATACGCCATGTCATTTGGTACCTGTATTCATATTTGAAGTTTCCTTCCCACGACTAAATTGATTTTTGCTTTCATTCACTTTGCTTGCGAGAACGACTCAATATAAATGCGGTCAACAACAGCCGTCCAACAGGTGTGCCAAGTCACAGTCTTCCATTGACATATGCCCGCATGCAAATTGTATGCTCTCTCTCTGTCTCTCTCTCTCTCTCGCTCTCTGTGTTGGTCTTTCGCTCTCACTCACGTGCTCGCTGTCTGTGGCTTACTCACACTCATGCTTCTGCTGCCTAACAGCTTTCAGTTGAGTTTATTTCCTTTTTTATTATGATTATTATTATTAGTTTAGACGGTGGTGCATTTGTTGCTTTTTGGACGTTTCAGTGACGGTTTTGTGTTGTGTTATTTTTTGTTTGCTTATTTGTTTTTAATTGTCTACTAAATTATGTAAAATTTGGCATTTGTTGAAGTCTGCTGTCAGTTTTAGTGGGGGGCGTTCGTTTGATTAATGTTTGATACTAATTATAGATTTTTGTGGCCTGCCTTATCAGCATTTTCATTTGAATTATTGAATTTCGCTTAGTTCCAGATGAATGGCATCGCTTTTAGTGCTGGCTGATAACTTATCATTGATTGGCGCTCTATATATAAAACGAAAACCCTTGACACAGTCATGCTATATGTGTGTGTGAGTGGCTGTGTGTGTGTGTGTGCGTGCGCATCAAAACAAAAACATACGCAATGTTTACATTTTCTTTGTTGTCGCAACATTTTTTTGGCCAAACTGAACTGTCAAATGGGCAATCAACTTTACCATGCTCTCTCGCACACACACACACACGCAGACACTCTGTGTTCGCTCTCTCTCTCTTTTACGCTCTCTCTTTGCAGCAAAAGCACAGTTAGCTTTGCAGCAGCCATCAAAAAGTTTCTAGCCAAATGCCAAATGAAGGCTTTTCTGGCTTTCATTGAATGACAGCAACTCCTCCGCCACGACCCGCCCTGGCATTCGTCACTGAATTAAAGTTGCTTAAAATGCTAACCGCACTGAGTCGAGGGGGCGTGGTGGTTTTCGTTTGGCATTTAGTCGTATTGGGGTCAAGTGCGCGCAGCTATAAACTAATTTGCGCGTTTATCTAATGAGTCGCTGGGGAAAAATGCATAGCACAGTTTTCAGGGCCCGCAAACATTTCCCTGGAACCATAAATGCTGACCGATTGACCTACCCAGGCATATGTAATAAGCACTCACTCACTCACACACACACACGCATACCATACAGAAACATGCACATGCACAACACTCACACACACACACGCACACACACACACACACGTGTGAAAAATTTCAGACGCAGTTCGTTCGACGTCGTTTTCCTTTCTTCACAGCAGCCAAGGCAATGAAGCACGTTTAACACTCGATTTGGGTTTACAGTTAGGTATTATTTACTCGGCTTTACATTTGCATTATTTGTGTCGAATCGTATTATTATTGGCTTAGTATTTGTATTATTATTTTTCTTTTGTGGTCTCCACGCAGGCCAACTGGACCAACAGCAACGTGAACGCGTTTAAGGAATCACACACAAAAGCACACTGTGCAGCCTGTGTTAGCTTTTCACGTGGCAACCGTGAAAATGTTGATATACAACGAACTGAGCTTTCACAAGCTCAGAAAAGCTAACTTTATCGATTGTTGGCTTTGGCTGTTGGCACAGGCAGCTGGGTTCAGACAGTCACTTGACGGGTTGCTGGAGCTGATAAGGATTTGTTCGAACAGTTGTGATTTAGAATTCTTACTTTGATTTAAGAGGAAGAAGTTTTAGAATTATTTAATAACTTTATAATAATAATACTTAATAACAAGACGGACGAAGAAATAAAAATATAGATAGAAACTTAAATAAACAACGAAATTTAGCAAGTATATAAAGATTAATATATGCGTGTGCCATAGACCAATAAAGAAATATATTAATGAATATTTTTATATAGTTATACGAGTAGATATAAATTTATTGATAGAAATAAACATATGTATATATCTGTAAAAATCTAAATAAGTAATTAACCCATATATATATTAGATACATGGATTGATAAATATACATTGGTAAATATATAACTGGAAATATAGTTCAGAATAAACCATTTTAAGTATTACGCTTTTGCACGACAGACAGTTGAGCTGATTGCTTAAATGTTTATCTATGAAAGAGGTCAAAAGTGATTCGGTGTGTGAAAAAATATTATTTTTAACATACGTTTGTCTCTCAATCATCCTTTTTCTTAATAATCTTAAATATATGAATATATATATTCAATATATATGGTCTAAGGGTGTTCTATTGTAACAACGGCGTCAAATTTATTGTTTCTAATAGCAAAGTTGTAGCAGCTATCGTAATATATATTCCAAACAATTAACAAAATATTTATATATTAGCTTAAATACAAGCATAAAAATGTAATAAAAAAAAATAAACAAATAAATCAACCAAGAATCAATCCATTTTTTATTTAAAATTAGGTAATATTATATCTTAACTAGGTTTGCTTTCCAAATATCCACAATGTGAGTAAGCAATGCTTCTTTTGTAAATACAAATTAATAAGAGACAACTATATATATTGAATTGATATTACAGTTCTTAAGTTAATTTAACTGAGAGGACTTTAAAAAAGCAGAGCAAAGTGCATTTTTTAATACACTTAGAATACAATAAAGATTTCAAAAGTCGCCGACAATTCATGGTCAACAACAGCTAACTTTACTCTTTACATATAAAAATATTATACAATTATAACAATTTGCATTCAACACATGGCTTTTATATATTCGAAAAATCAGAAAATGAGGCTAAGAAAAATCAAAAGAATTTAATTCTCGATCAAAACAATGAGCTTTGTTTACAAACAAATTGCGATGATATAAAAAATACAACAAAAAAATCACTCCCACATTTTCATGTTTGTTTCAGAATTTTTCTCGTTTCGAAGCACTTTTATGCCAGATTTGAAGTATATAATAAATTTAGCTCTCATTCATTTCAACGAATCAAGTTCTCTCTCGCTCGCACTTGCATTTGTTGTTAAGTGCGAAGTGAACAGCTGTTCTAGAGCGACGCATGCGCCGCAAGCTTTGCTACACTTTTTTGACAGTTGCAGAGAGTGAGAGAGAGAGAGAGAGAGAGAGAACGCGTGCACTCGCTGGCTATTGTCAAATTGTGTTTGACATTTTTAGGGTCTCAAAAACAAATGTCTTCATTATTTTTCTTTTCGCTTTTTTTCTTTTGCCTTTTATAGCTGACTCATCCGAGCTATTTCCTTGACACTTGGCAATAAATCGTGCGAATTTGCTAATGAGCTACATCCGGCTGGAAATTAGCTGTGGGGCAGACTTCCTAAACGTTTCTGTTTATTATTGTGAATTAGTGAAAACAAATTTTCAGAAG